GCCCCCTGCCAGCCGCTGCTTTTGGTTTCGCCGCTGTTGGAAGGACGAAGGTTTAGCTGCAGGGAAGCCGAGTGCGTCTCCGAGAGGGTTTCATAAGAACGGGGCTCGAGGCTTTATTAGTTCTCTTTGCTAATGTTACGCAAAAATGCAGCTGCTAACGTTAGGGAATTGGCATTTTTCAACTGGCTACAATTGGCTTTATAACTGTGAAATCAACCTTAAGAAAATCCAGGAGGACAAAACACAAATGCGAAGTACCTTTACTTTGCATCAAGTATCAAAAAAGTGTTGTAGTTGTCGATGTTTCCGCAGTGTTGCTTTTAGAAATAAAATGGTCTTTTATGCAGAATTGCCTCCGCTAATCTCTGCTAGTTACTGCTGCGCTTTATTTTACTCTTAAAAAACCAAAACCATGGTGATGCTTCTAAGAAAATAATGTCTTGCCTATGTGTCATAGCTGGTCTTTGAGTTGTTCTGCTAAATGGCCGTAGTGATGAGATTTTAATAACAAAATTATTAGACCATACGTATATTACATATATACAACAAAAGTATGAGACTGGCCAAGCCTATGAATCAAAACAAATCTTCAGGTGAATATTACATTAAAGCATGAGCTTCAGAACTATACAGGCTAATTTAAAACCTACTGGATTTAAACTTTTATGCTAATACAATTTATTAATTTATTTCTAAACCTTGAATGTTCCCAGCTCTTACTTTGTGAGGTTAGAAATCTGCAAGTTTAAGCACAATTAATTTCTGATCAAAACAGTAAAAGGAAACAGGTAGAACTTCAGAATGGCAATCAGGGACGACACTTTTTTTAAATGGTTTGCAGCTTTTGTAGGTAATAAAAAGTGCGATCATGAAAAGATAATGCTTGGAGCTGTGTAGTCTTGTTGAATAATACTTTTTTTTAATGTGATCGAAAGGACCCAGTATTTGCAAACTTAAGCCCCTGATGCTGCTGTTAAAACCTGTCATAAGTTTTTGATAGCAGAACAGGTAACAGGCAAAGTCGTTCTGGCTAGGTTCAGTTTTCTCAGAGGAGACTGTGTTTTGCTAAGAACAAAACTTTTCTCTGCTCCCAAGATCAGCAATAAAATGGAACAAACAAACAAACAAAAAATCTCCAAAGTTTTAAGTATTCAAAAAAACTAAGCATATTCAGACTAAACCAGTCAATCCTCGTAATTATTCTCATTTTCTGTGTGAGCATACATTATCCACACGTACATGCAGACATGCAGATAGTGATAATGTCTGATCTCTACCATTGCCCGTCCTTGTAACTATGCAAAGGTCTGAGAAACCTCCAGGAATTTGAATTTTCTTCTCAGCTTTGGTAGCTAAGGCTCTCGGGAAATGTAAAAGACAGTGGTGTCGTGGACGCTTTGAGCAGAATTCTTGCTGAAAGAAGCTGTTTTGCCTTTCCATCTGCCCTCTTCCTTGCTCTAGCAGAAGGAAATGGGGCTGCACCTGGATGGGAAAACCAATCTCAGCAGAATTATTCTGCCCTTTCCCTATGTGCTCCCCCAAACGTTGGGGTGGGTTGAGCCTGGTTTCCTGGGACGACCAAGACCTGCAGCCCTAGCTGATACCAGTCTGAAGTGTTTGTGAAAGTACTGCGTAACAAGGGGACTTTCTTTCCACAGACACATGGGTGGTGGTGCCTCGGTGATGATACCTGTAGATACGCTTGAGAAGCAGCCTCATTTGGCCTCTTACTTACTATCTCCTAATAGTACACATTAGAGTAGCTCTTTAAAAAAAAACCAAAAACAAAATTCACTTTCATTTTCTTAGGGAATTACCAAGTGGTAATTTTTTTCTAGAACTGGAGGTCTGACTGGAGTCTGAATTTTTCCTGGCAGTTTTCTTTCTGCCTTATTTCCCTTTGTTTTCTAATACAACCTTCAAGTCGGGGTATTGAGTAGCCTCTGACTCAGTGCACAAGAGTAAGGAAGGGTCAGTGCTCAAGATTTATGCCGGCAGTTCTCTGACTCATGACTCTTCTGCTTCTATCTTGCTTTTGGGGAGGTGAAAAAATGCACTGCTGATGTGCGCCAGCAGTAGATTACTATTTGTCCCGCATTGGTTTTGCTCGCTGTGCCAGAGCATAGCATTAAAAGTTTAATAGGTGAGTAATTGAAAAAGTGTTGTGGTTTCTGTGTTGTTTTTTAACATTCTCGGTTTTGCTTGGATTGGGCTAAATTGTGGTTCTAAGGCACAGCTGTCGCCTGCAAGATGTAATCGCTTGTCTTTTTAAAGTTTTCTCTCTAAAACTGCACTGGTAGATGATTTTGGGGTAGAACAAAGTGTTAATTGCTCCACAAAGCATATATGCTATTTTTACTAAAGATTCAGCATATGTGATGCAAATTCGCAGCGGAAAAGACCGGAAAATTGAGGCTCATCTTCCCCCCACGAGCATGAGTTTCATTACCGCAGCCACTATGTTGTTGCATGCTGCCGTTTTTTAAAAATTACTTTTCAATGATTTTTTGTGTGTGTACGTTTCTTAAAATTATTTAAATGATTGATGGACTGAGATAACAGAAATAGTAGAAACAATTTAGTGGGCAGTAGCTTACCTGATAGCAAATACGAGCTGCTGAAGTGAAGTCATTTGTGGTTTTTTTCTGTTGGAGAGTTAAAAATCTGTCAGTATTGCTAACGGTAAAAGGTGGACCAACGGGAGTGTTACACTGATAACTCCTTTCTTTTAGGAGCAAAAGTCCTTCCACCTCCATCCAACCTGGACTACTCATTTATCCAAATCTGCACCCTGAACTGGACGTGGAACCCCCCAGAGAATGTCAGCAGTAGCTGCGACCTGGAGTATTCCAGCGACATCGTGATTGATAAGGTCCTTCAGGACAAGAGGGTAAGTGCATCGCTGCTTCAGACTCCGCTGTGCTCCAGAAAACGTCTTATTGTGATAAAACTCTGTGTGTGTTAAGTGTATATACGAATGTAAATATATAAAAATAAGTTTTAATCTAGCCTTTAATTCTTGTCATGGGATCAAAACCTCAAAAATTAGTCACACCAGCATGTGGGGTCTTCAGATCAGAAAAATCTGTCTGTCGCTCTCTGATAACTGGGCTGCTGCCGCCGATAACACAGAAGTACCGTAATAATAATGTGAAAAGAATTGTTTCAGTCTTTGCTTATGCAGCTTTCTAGAAAAAATAAAATATAGATAGGGCAGTCTACATCCTTAAGACTTAAATGGGAATTTGCAGAGGCTGATCTCCTTCACTTTGAACTCAATTTAAGAAAGAGGCGTGCGCGTTAACTGTGGCCTGGCTGTGATTTGACGGCATAGCGCCTTTTGGAGGCAATGCCAAGTACTAACGTTCTCCCACATTCGCCTTGTCCCTGTGCTTGCAATTATTCATAGGGGCTGTGTTAGCAGGACGCCACGGAACACATTTGTTCCCTGGAACAGAAATTGTAAAACTTCTTTGTTTTGGGCTTTGGTTTTAGGTCTCTGTTAGATGGTTTGCAGCCCAGATGTGATCCTTGGTGTGGATTAACAACTGTTTGGTCAGGACTGAGAGCAGCATTGCCATGGTGCTGAAGGGGCTGTAGGACAAATATTTTTACAGTTGGTTGCCAGTAAGATAATATGCTATCAGTCAGTAATTCCGGATCGTCAGAATTTGAAGCCTTGAGTACGCACCGACCGTAGGGTCAGCAGTGCTGCTGTTTTGGATACGGTTAAAATCCATGGGGTGTTTCTTGAAACAGCCCTTTGTTGTTGAGCCCTATTACCATTTTATGGCCTGATGTTTACAATGGCCTCTCCACAGCGACTGCTGTACTTTTCTGACAGGATATCCTGGACTTGAAGTAAGGCTGTAGTTTTGCAAACAGCTGAGCTGATTTAATGGCTTAACGCTGCTAAAAGGGTGATTTTTAATTTTTGACACCCCTTTCTCTAATGATCTTCATCAGACCTTTAGATCAGCCAGCTGAACTTGCTAACTCAGCAGAAACCTGTTTACCTCTTCTGGTGGATTCATTAACAAAGTAACAAGTTGAAAGTCTGCTTGGTTAATGAACTAAATGAGTTTGTGGACGGGACTAACAGATGTGAAGGGCAGCAGCGGTGAAAGAGCTGTGGGGCAGTGGTTTCACGCGACAGGATGAGCCAGACTGCATATCATCGTGCTGCATCTTTTTGCATTACAGCTGGTAGAACCTAGCCTGTGCATTGCTGTTCGATTTCCTTGCCCGTTCATTAGTGCCAGTATTTTTATGCACAAGTGGTTACACCATTCTTTGTGCATAACAAAGTGGTTGGTTTTTTTTTTTTATCCTGTTTCCAGTTGAGTAAAAGACATCCCCCTAGCCCAATAAACGATGCTCAAGAAAGCATATGAGAAAAGGGTAGGCCTTTCTCTCACACAAACACACGCTGTCTTCTGAAAACGGAAGCTCGTGGATGACTTGGGCCTGATGTGGTGTCACTGTATTTAGTAGCCATTTGTGGATTTGTTTTGATAATTTTTTTTTTCCTTTGCTCCTTAAATCCGTGCAAACTCTTCGCATTGCTCTTTGGTTATGCCTTCGAATGTTCTTTCTTCTGTTTGTTGCACACACACAGAAAGATGAAGATTAGATCTGTAACTCCTGTTTATATAGCTGTAGTATAAACATGCTGCTTCTGCATTATCCATGAAGACTTGCTGTAAGACCATTTTCCCCCACGTTGTAGTTGTTCCTTGATCTCTGTATGGCCATTGCTGATGTTTACAGGCATGAGCAGAAGTGGTTTTCCTTTGGTGAGTTCTGAGTGCGCCTGATGAGGGAACAGCAAAGCTAAGCGATGCTGAGGCTTGCCGCGCTGTCAGGCGTTCACCTGGCTTTCAGCTGCAGTCTTTCCGAGGGGCTGTAACGAATTCTTACGTCAGTAGTAATTCCCGTGCATCTGATATGGTGTGAAATGTTCTCTGGTTTTCTTTCCCCCCTATCTAAACCCAGGAATGGACTAAGAGTCGCTTCCGTGTGACAGATACATTCTTGAATGAGGAAATGCGTTTCAAAGTGAGAAGTGAATGCAAGCGTGATAACGCTAGCGAGCCCAGCCGATGGGTGGAGACCTCTCTTCTGCCAAAAGGTATCACATGCAGTGGCCAGACCTGAGACAGGCATGCCTCCCGTGGCCTAAGGAAGCACAACCTTATTTTCTGTCCTATTTTAACGAAATATTGTAGAAATACATCATAGAGAAACGGGGAGGTAGCATGCACAAGGGCTAATTCAATTGATAGAGCTCAAATAGAACAATTATACGAAGTTTAAGCATAGCTGGTGTCTTCTGATGCCTAAAACCTTATGGGCAAGCTTGTAAAATTTAAATGCTCTTCCAAGGCAATGATGCGATTCCTGTTATTTCTCTTGGCCCGATCGTGCTGTGGTTGTGGGATAAGAGATAAAGGTTGTATTAAGTCTGCTAACTTCATGACTAATATCTAAGTCACTTTATTTTGTATCATTTTTCCACATAGGCATAAGTCCCTAAAATAACCCTACATCTGTAAATGTTAGAGAGATGAATGTAGCAAATTTAACAACTTGTTGAATAAATAAGCACCTTAAATAATTATAGTAGGGTTCTCTCAAAAGAGATGACTGGAGTCTACAAAGCTGTGCATAGCAAAGTGAATAGATAAAAATATTTTTTGTCTCCTGACATCGAGAAATAAGGGGTCCATGGCAAAATTGTTAGGAAGCAGACTTTAAAGAGATCCAGCTACTGGATGCTGGAAGTTAGGAGCTACAGCAAGGAAATAGAGCCTCTTGCCTTGAGTTGTACAAGTCTGTCTAACCCCGGAGCGTGACTCAACACGGATGAAAACCACATGTAGATGAGAGAATCTGAGACCTTATCAGGCTTGTCTGCATGCCTGTCAAAAGGGTGTTGTGGAAAATCAGGGAAGCAGATCATTAGGACAGCATGTACTAAACAGGTTGGGGCTTTTAAAAGCATGCTCGGAGATAAAATATTTTAAAATACTACTTGGAATGGGAAATCCAGTTTCATTTTTGTATACTCTTAGTTGCTACTTCAGGGAGTATGCAAGCTCAGAAGTAGAAGGTGGTTTGGGGATTGCTATCAATAAAAGTCTGGACTGTCGATAAAATTAATGGGTTTTTCTAGTTCCTGGAGGCATTGTGACTTGTTAAAAGGAAAAAGTATCTAATGTGCTTTAATATGATAATACAGTATAAAGAACTTGTACCATACAAAAATGCAAGTTTGGGTATGAAAGACTTGATTCCATAATTGCTCTGCCTGAGAGATCCATTGACATCTCTTCACAGTTGCTGTGTACTCACTTGTATTTATGTTCTGTAATTTGCGTTTTCAGTATGTTGAAGAAGTTGAATGTCTAGAGGTATAGGAGTCTCAATTAACAATTCAATTTACCCCAGCATTGCTTTTGTCCCTATTTAAGATGTGCAGGTATTTCTGTATTCAGAATACTAAGAAACTAATATTTTTATCTGGAGAAGATACTATAATTAAATGCTCCCTATTTTCAATGTTGATGTCTGTAGTAACTATAACAAAGCTAAGTGTTATCCTTATAATTGCCAGTTACTTCAACTCCTTTTTGAAGTATCTGTAGTTTAATAGAACAAAATTTTTTTCCTTACTCAACACCTTGTCCTTAGCATGAGGTAACTCTAAGTAGTAACTCAGACATGGTGGAAGCTGAGATTTCCTGTTACGATTAGTTTGCGTTTAGAAGTTTCCCTGCTGAGATTTGGGCTATTGCAAGCAATAAACAACTGGAATTCATCACTGGCTGTGCTGAGACAGGCAGTGCAGGCTGAGAGGGAACCCATCTTTGCCTTCAAGACAGTTTCAGTTACGTAAAAAGGGATGTTTTACTTCTGGAAATTGAAGAGAAGACTTTGCCAAAGTCTTCTCTTAAGAGACCTTTCCAACTTGCCTTGCAGGTATTCCAGGTACTGCTGCTGTTAACTTGAGCTGCATCTGGCACAATTTGGAGTACATGGTTTGTATGTGGCATCCTGGGAAGAACGCAAGCAGTGATACCAATTACACGTTGTTTTACTGGTTTGTATGAACTTTTTATTCCCAACTCTAACGTGCTTTAGTGCTAATTTTTAGTTTTACATTACACGTTTTACTTGTCTGCTTCCTGATGCTTTGAAAGAACCCAGGTCAAGAAAGGTCAAGAAGTTGCTGTTGCTGAGTCTTTTTGGGAGGTTGATGTAATTATTGTGTGAACCACTGGCTGCTTCTTTAGCCCCTTTTAAAATAACTGTTACTGCTTTCTAATTTTTTCTAACTGTGGACTCAAAGAGGGAAGAATTAAGAACTGAGCTAGACCAATATATTAATAGCTTTCTTTGCAGCCCAACAAACATGGGCCATTTAAGTTGGGATCACTCATTAATGTATGTGTCAGCTCTTAAATGATTGGAAAATGCTATTAAAGCATTAATAACACTTAGTAGCAGTCTTGTTTGTATCTTCTATGTCATAAGTAACCGATTCACCTTGAAAGTTATGGAGAACATCTTTTTATCATCATCCACACTTGCCAGCTCACTGCCATAAATAGACTCTTGTTCCAAAGGAACGGAGTTGTGGTGTGAGCAAAAACTTGGCAGCAAGATCTGCGCACGCTAATCTATGCATACTTCTGCATGTCGATGTGGCTTGTGAAATGCCAGATTGCATTAGCTTCTGTAGAAATATTGAAGTTTTCTTTCTGAAAGCCCCTTGTTGTAGTTTTAAATCAGCTTTCTGTCTTATCTGAACGAACTAAATAAACTTTTTCCTATTCCTCTTTGGTGGCAGTCTCACAGGCGAGCTGTGCGATTTAATGCATTTGGACAGCAAACAGCGGAAAACTTGCTGCTTTAGTTAAAAGGAGGGAGGGCTGTTCTCTCTCTAGACTGCTACTCACAGAAATTTTTTCTTTATTACAAGAACAGTACCAATGAGGCACTGAAGATCTGAATTTCTGGGTATATGGATACTTGCTGGAATAATGCTTTAGAGCTGTATATTTTCAGCTTACCCCTTAGCTTTCATGAAAGATGTAGCTGCAGTGACAGCCAAGTGTTTTGGTTCATGCTGCTTAGAAAGAAAAAGACTTGTTTTTCTAGCTCTAAAGCTGAAAACTAAGGAAACACTTGACTTTTGGACTGAAAGATACATTTTCCATAATGCAGGTGAGGGTTTGGTTTTGATTGTGTGTTTGGGGTTTTTCATCTTCATTTTGGGTTGGTTTTTTTTTTTTTCTCCAGGAAATGACTGAACAATGACCTGAAAAATTATTGCTTAATTCCATTTTATATTCTTTTTCATTGACATTTTCCTCTATCTTTTCATCCAAAGTGAACATGAATGTGTCATTAGCTTAGAACAAACGAGTTCAGCCAGTGCACAGTAATCCTTGCTGAAAGGTGGGCTTAGGAGAGCAGGTTGATGCATGGGCAGGGCGCTCTCTGCTCTGAATGCCTCTCGTCTTCATCAGCCCCAGGGCGGGGAGGTGAGAAGGATGGATAAAAAAGGGGTCTGTCCTGAAAATAGGATGAAGAGACAGTTTTGGCTTCCCCAGCTTGTATATACTGAGACGTGAAGTAGGGGAACGTCACTCCTACTGTGCTCCTAAATGAAGCTCTGATTCACTCTGTATCACTTGTAAATAAATAATGAATCCGTTTTCTCTGGAGGAAAAGCTACTGGCGTATTTTTATTGGGACTTGGGGAACAAAGAGAAGCAAGGAAGAAGTTGTCATAGCTTCTTTGTTACTGGAAGTGAATACTGACTTTTTGAAAAGCAAACGCAGGCAATAGGTGCGACCTGACTTTCTCAAGCGAGAGCTGCAATACCTGAGGCACAGCTAAAGGAGACCGATCAGCTCATTCTATCACAGAAGTGAAATTCTGTTGATGGGAAGTGATCCAAATTAGTTTGCTTTCTAAATATTTTTTTCTTGAAGTTGTTTTCCCATGTGGAAATGTGAACCAAAGCTGAAAGCAGCTGTTATATTTGGTGCTTGGATACAAAGCAAATCTGCCTCTTTCCCCTACTTGACACCCTTAAAAAAATAATATTCTTTCTAAAGCTGGACTTAAATGAGAAGCTTCTTACTTTGCTTAGCTTTACTTTTACATATGCCATAGCACAGCTTTAATGCAAGATCAGTCTTCAGAATTTGTAACAGGTTTAAAAACAAGCTCGCCCCTTGCTGTCCTATTCTTTTGAAGTTTAAAAAAACATTTTTATTCCTATAGGTTTGATGGTTTGAAAAACCGTAAGAAGTGCAGCAACTATTCTATGTACAACGGAACCTTTCAATGCACTTTCAATCTTAGCTTCCCAAATGTCACCCGTACTTACCCAGCTATAAGTATTTTGATTAGAGATGATTCTGAAGAAATTAGGCCTGTGTGTGCAACTAAAAATCCTACTACCCTTGGTAAGTTTAATACCACATTAAAAAAATAATTAAAAAAAGAAGTTTGCTAGTGTATTGTGTTTGAGAAGCTTGCATCTCCTAAACTGTGGGTGAGACAACATAACTATATGCTCCCTTCTTCTATTGATCTTTGATTTGGGAATTATGTAGACAGGGTTTGGGGTTTTTTGGGGGGGGAGGGTCATTTTCTACCCATTTTTACTCTTATTCTCTAGTTATTTTTATTCTTTCTTGACTTTTTGGTGCTTTTTCCTCATTCTGTTCCTAAACTGGTGTAAGGGTAATATTATGCAATATAGGACTTCAACAATTTTTTGTAAGCAGTGAAATATACTTGTAACTAATTTTTCCTTTTGCATTTCAGTAAAACCTGCTACACCAAGACAAGTTACACTGTCAAAGATTAATGATGAAATATATGTAGAATGGAGTGAATCAGACACCTTTCCAGAAAATTGTTTATTTTACGAAGTTGAATATCACAACAGTGATTTGAACATCTCTCAGATAATTAAAGTAATTTTTCATTACTTACAGTTAACTGATTTATTTTTTCCCATGCATCTTTCATAATTTGTGTTGATATTCACAGTAACTCAAATATTTGCTGTTGAAAAATGAAAAATTGTCTATGCTGCATATGAATGGGTCTGGTGCACTAGCTGGAAGTGTTGTGCGGCCATAAAATTTTTCTCCCACGCAGTAGGTTTCTGGTAGGAATATCTACACAATGCAATTCATACAAGTCTTCTGAGTCCCTGCCATCATTTGTTATGGCAAAGCAGTAATGTGTAAGAACAGTCCGATAAAGAAGTGTAACTAAACTAAACAACCCTTATCAGGAAATACACTGCGGTGCATGTACCTGTTTGCTTCTTAGCGATGCGGGACTTTGCTCCGCTGGCGCTGGGTTTCCCTGTCATTGGCCTGTGCTCGGTCAGATGACTGCCGTGTTCTTGCATGACGCGACGTCTTTGCCATAAAGCCAAATTAATGGTGTGCGCACACAAGAACGCAGAATGTTATACAGAAGAGCAAGGGCATAAAAAGACTCTTAGGTACGCTGATTTTAATGTACATATAAAAAGCATTGCCTTCAGGGTCTGGATGTCCTCATGCCTGTATCTGCATAGTCAAACTGACTGTGCTGTTTGATCAGAATGGTAAACAACGTGATAAATTTAAAAAGTGTCAGTCTTCTCCTGCGCAGCATATTTAGTTGTTTGTCCTACCCCAGATTTAGCAAACGTGAATATCGTCAACATTCCTCAGGACACTGGCATTTTGGGTCAAAAATAAGTGATGTTGGGTCCCAGCTCGTGTGTTTGCGTGTCTCTGTAGAGGCATCGCAGAAGGCTTTTGCGTGGTCAGAGTTGGATCAGCGTTGCTGCCCTGCCAGAGAGGGGGAGGCAGGGTAAATCAGATGTTTCTGGGGGGGGGAAAAAAAAAAAAAAAAAAGGCAGTGTTCCAGACACTCTGAGTCTTAGTTTAATCATTGGTGCCAAATGCCGTATGATAGATGTAGCTGTGAACAAGTAAATCTTAGCTTTGGAATCTCTATTTAGGCAGCCTGTGCTGGTTAAATGCTACTATGTCCTTTTTTATGAAGTTCAGTATTCACAAAAAGATCTTCCATCAAAACATTCAGAATACGTTAACCGCACAATGGAGATAGGCTTATTAAATGACTGAGCAAAATTGGTAATTGAATGAGGCACATTACCTTTTCTTTTCACCTTAGGTTGAACACAATTATACATCAATTCCTAGTGTTGATCCTAATAGCAAGTACCTCTTCAAAGTGAGAGCAAAACCAAAGCCTGAGTGTTACAGCAGCAAGTTCTGTAGTGACTGGAGTGAAGAAAAGAGTATTGGTGAGAACTATTGTTCCTGCAATTTGTTGCACTTCATTCTTCATCTGTAAGGCATCGAATACCTTTTGTCTGCTAAGTAAATGGGAGTTGAAGATCATCTTCCTACATATCTATTTAATTTTGGGTGAAAAGAGAGCAAGAGAGTTCTAGCCCTGCAGCATTATGGTTATTGCCTGTACTGCTACGCGTGCTGGCGGGGCTGCTGTGCGTGTAGCCGTGCCATAGCCCCTTCCCAGTGCTGCCAGCTTCCCAGCCCCGAGTCTCACTGGTTTTCATTTTCTTGCCAAATGTATCCATATTATAATATCATCCTTTGGAAGATAAGTCCTTGCCTACAAAACTGTTAGTATATTTGAAAAACATTCAGTCTGTGAATTAATTAGAGAATTAATTAATTTGTTGTCATTATTCCTAAAAAGCCTCCCAAAACATCCCTAAGTTTCTACAATTTTTCTCTTCCAGGTGAGAAGACGGACTCTATGTTCTATTTTGTTTTAATAATCACCATTCCATTAGTAGTAGCAGTATGTACGATAATTCTACTGGTTTATCTAAAAAGGTAAATAATGATCTCCCTTTATTTACAGTCCACTAATTCTGAATGCTCTTTGACTTGTGTTGCAATTCATCTCGCTTCCAGGTAACTGTCCATGATGTGGCATCCGTCACTAGCTGCTGGTTTATCCGTAACAGGCATTGTGTGGCAAAAACGGCAGCACGCTTGTGCCTCAGCCATTAGAATTAGGTTTATAGACCATATGCGTGCTCTGGTTGCACTTGGGTAACATTGCTTCTGTAGCATTACAGTTAGATTCTTGTTGCACAGCTATTTCATCCCCTTTCTTTAAGCAATGAAGTCTGAACTCAAAATGAAGCTTGTATAGCGTATTTTGCCAGATTTTAAAACAACCTCTACTTTTGCTACTGTCTTTGTCAACAGTGAAAGTTATGTAGAATCTGTCTGTGTGAATATTCCCATTTCCTTTTGATTTGGGGAATAAAAATGAGAATTGGGCTACAGTTGCAAAGAAAGCTGGCCAGTGAAGCCAACGCTGACTTCATGAATTTTGTCGACTGCACCCAAGTATGATGTTGAAATGGTGATTTTTAAATTCATAAATCTTTCATCTAAAGCTTTTCTTTTTAATTTTCTGAAGGCTGAAGATACTAATTCTTCCACCAGTTCCGGACCCTAGAGAAATTCTGAAGCGCATGTTTGGAGAGCAGAATGAGGATTCCCAGGTTAGTAAGAAGCTGTTAGGCCGACTAATCTATTGAACCACAATCTGTAGGCTTCCAATTTTCTTTTTCCTAATACCTAGTACTACCTAAAATCAACTGTATATAAGTAAGTATATCATGTGAAGAGCAAGTATTTACAATAGTAAGAGTTGTTCAGAAACAATTACCCAAAGCTGAGAGGGACTTTTTTTCCCTGTCAAATTGCATATACTTTTATAGATACTCACTAGAACGGCATTATTCTGTTATTTCACAGACCGCTAGTCCCTTAAATGTGTTTTGGGTGGATTTGGGGGTTGCGTTTTTGGGGTGGGGGTTTTCTGGTTGTTGGGGTTTTTTTGGAGGGGGTTGTTTTCTGGGGTTTCTATTGCAATGCCATCAGGTCTTTCTCTGCTAGTTGCTCTTATTTATGATGCTGACTAAAGCTATTCATATTTGACTCCCAGGAGCTTATATTTTTAGCACTTTCACATTTATCACAGTCAGTTAGCTATTAAGTAAATCAGGACACTTAGCTTCTCATTGGCAAAAGAACAAAATAGCTGCTTCAAGACTTGCTATGGGCCCTTATTTCATGAAAAATAAACATAATACTGATTATTGAAACTCTTATTTCTAAACAAATCTAATTCAGTAGCTTTTATAAAAATCCTAAGGGAAGTACACTGACAAGCCCTAATTCAAACCTGGACATGAGGCAATGTATGCTGTTCTCTGAACACAGTCCTTGCGTGGAAGGGACCTTCTGACTCACTGTGGCATCTCAAAATTGATGCTACCTGTGAAGTGTTTGTAGAGGATAATGACTGCCTGGGTGTCTGGTTCTGCATGTGCATTGGATGTTCTCAGTTGAACAGGAGGTGCAAGAATCACTGACGTTCTGAAAATAAGTCTCCTTTAGTGGCCTCCCAATTGCAAATGAAATCAAGAGTCCAAAATCCAATATTCCCTTTTTCCATATGGGTGTTCTGAGTTCACCTAATAATAAACCAGAACTATGTGGAAAGCATGGATCGGGCTTCCTAATTTAGTACCTTTTGGATAAATATTTCAGCATGTATTGGTCATTATGGGACTCAGATGGGACTCTTGGCCATGAGTATCATAAGTGTGGTAGCTGTTACACTTTGTCATGTTTTGACGAATGCTTTGTTACTGCCCCAAGTAACGCTACACTCTTCCCTCTGAGTTGATCTTGATCTTCTCTGTGTGCTCAGGGTCTCAGTGAAAACTCTACTAAGTGTGCATACCCTCGCTTCTCCATCCTCCTGCCTGAGCTTCACCCATTAGCTGTAGTTGGAAGCACTCTTAAGATGGGGGCCAACCTTCAGTTCTTCCTTGTCTCCAGAGAGGACAACTCTTCCGTTAACCAGGCTTAAGCCATGTCTCTAATAAGCACAGTTTGTTAGCCAGCTACCTTGGCTTTTTCACCGTAATATAGGCTATACGTTATGAAACAGGTCTGTCTTACTGGGCTGAAAATACAATGCTCGCTGTGAAGAAGTGCTGTTAAAAATGTTGTTGTTCTCTTTCAGAGCTGTGCAAAGGATGATTCTATGAATGCTTATGACAGGTTAATTAAGGAAGAGGAAATTCATTCTTTAATTCTAACAGAAGCTCCAGAGTACACTAATTCTGAAAAAGAAGGCCGATAAACTCTGCTTTACCAGTGAAAGATGACGAAACTTTCGTTCCTGCTCCTGTACCTCAGGTGACAAAGTAAATGTGAAGAGGCCTGCAAGACATTCACCAGCTTTCACCTTACAGAGTCCTTTCTGAGCTTTACTTCTCTGATGCTCAGAAGATACATCACTAGCAGTGGCCCTTCCTCCATCTCTGCTAGAAATACTCATCTTGGATCATTTGAGATGAGCGTGTACATAACCTTCATCTGACTGCATTGCAGCATCTCTCGTTCTGGCTCCAGCCAGCTCTGCCCTATTACGTGTTACTTGCACTTGTGTTTGTGCCTTACGTTAGACCATAAATGAGTGTTTTGGAACAAACACTGTGACTTCTCTGAAGTATTTGGCTCGATTTTGCAGCAGGTGAGATGAGGCTCGTTTACAGTAGAGGGCTCATCAGCACTACTACCTGGAGCTGCTGCCAGAGCATGGACCGTTGGTGGATGGCCTGTTTCATGAGCTCCGGGGCAGGGCACTTCCCAGAGGGCATTTATGGACTGACCTTCTTACGCTTCTGGTTGATGTGTGTCAGCTGTGGCCTGGTCAAACCCCATAAAAGAGGGTTGTTTTTTCTTTAAAAATGTGTATGAAAAGCCTCTCTGCTTTCCAGCTGATATTCAGACTATTCATAGGAAAGGCTTAGTTTTTTATCCTTTCAAGCGCCTATCTTCAGATTACCTTCATGGACTTCTTGACTTTTGTTTAAAATGATAAATAGAATTTTTTACCTGTGTTGTGCAGTGGCAGATAACCATACTGAGTCTCACCAGACTGTGATTCTACTTTGGCCATATTGGCCTGAAAACACCCAATTTTGTTGGAAGCAAAGTCATCCTGAGTCTGTTGAGCAAAATTACCAGGATGGATGCACGAGTTGAAGGAGCTGTAGTCAAATTGATTTGTAAATGCTAAACCACTGAAACAGAATTAACTAAAAGACTTTGAGACCCATCCTCACTGCTGAGCTGATGGATTTATGGGAAGAGGGGATGACAACCTTGGCCCGCTTTCTAAGGGATAAGCTTTATTCTTTCTATAGTGATGAGGCTGTGATTTGAGCTTCCCCTCTAGGAGCTTAGCAATTTAAAACAAGGTGCTGATTTGACTTTTTAAAACAATTTTCTTCTATATTTTACTGCAGCAGCTTGATGACCTCTTTTTCTTTTTTGGTAAATCATGAATTGATTTATTCTTTTTCTTTCTGGGTTTTTTTTGGTTTGTTGGGTTTTGGTTTTTTTTTTGAGGTTGCTTTACCCAACCAAGCTCAACAGACATTTTTCCAGCACAACTGTGACATTTCTCTGCTCTGAATCCTGAATATTAGCTTCTACTGTGTGCTGCAAGGGTATTAACAGCAGTACCTTGACTGTGCTGGAGGAAGAAAGTAATGGGGAGAAAGGGATCTACGCAAGTTGGTTATGGGTAATGTTAAGGTATTTCTTGTTCTTCCTAGCTAACTGCAGACACGTTAGTCATTGTACAGATGGTCTTAGCAGACTGGGAAGAAATCTCCTCACAGATTTGCTAGGAGCAAAGTCTGTAGTCACTAACCTTTGAAAGTTCAGCCCTGTCCTCAGACTCAGTTCAATCAAATACCTGAAATGAAATGCTACATTTTTAGAACATACCGGTCTGTGAAAAGTAGAGCTAATGGAGCTTGCTTTTTAGCTACAAATTTACATCCTTTACCCACGTATGTATTCCCTCCCTCTCTTAATAAATCCAATTCTTTTCCCAGTCCCCACTGAGCCTCTCAAATATGCAGTTTCCTCCACATCTCTTACCTACCTCTCCTTACTGGTGGTAGAAGGGAGGAGAAGTGTAGCAGGACTAGCAGACCCCATATTAGCTTCAGTCAGCCTAAAAGAAAGACATTATAAAAATTGGTTAATGAGAGAAAATGAGAATAAAACCTCAGGGATTTCAGTGAGATAAAACAAAACTCAGGTTATAGAAGGTCCGCTAGCAGCACTATTTGATATTCCAGAGGTAAAAGAATAGCTTGGGGGAAAGGGTAATTAAATTCCTGTGCCAACTTCGCTCCCTCTCCCCACAACATTCATATCATTACAGCGATATAAACATTTCTCAAATCTACCTCATCGTAGACCACTAGACGAACAGAAGTGTGTGATTTTTAAGATAAGTAAGCATAACAGTTTAATATAAAGTTTTGTGGCTTTCGGTATAGCAATCTAGGAAGATGATCCTCGGTACTTTAGGGTAAAGTCTTTTAACTTTTGTTTTGGTGTTTATGATAAAACCAAAGCTTATTTGTTTAAAAAATAAAAAAAAAAAATGAATTCATAAAGCCAAAGGAGTGGAAAAAACAGACGGAAGGTGCAAGGCCAAAAGGAACACTTCAATGCAGAGAATGGTTCAGATCACTATATAGAAATGGTTTGGGTAATTCTGTTTCCCAACTAATAGTAATTGACCCACTTCCTAATGGGTGGCTTCCTCCAGCCTGTGTTGTGGCATGTAAAATAAGTGTCTGAGTGTATTTTCATCTTTAATGTGTCTTGTTTATGGTTAGGGGGGTTTTTTAGCTTGAAATTTTCCAAGTTTTGCTACCATTTTTTTGTTCTTCATTGCAGTTACTTGATCTGTATGTTTGTTTAAAGAATGAATAAATATGTTTGAATGTCTTTCAATCTAATTGCATGGCATTTTCCTCTTGGGTTGAGAAGATAAACTGAGACGGAAGAGATGGCAATGGTTTAATGAGAAACCATGTTTGAGATGTGTGGAACCCAGAGAAGAAAAACTGAGTGTTGTTTTGCCCTCTTCCCTTTCAAAAGTGAACTCAGCCCACACAACCAGTGGGGAATGGAACAACTGTTAATTTTTTTTTTTTTTTTCTGGGGTAATGAAACTGAGATGGAGCTGTGCACAAGGCTTGTAGTCTTGCCCCACGTGTACTCAATGCCATGCTATTCTCTATGATTGGCATGGGTTTTTCATAACACTGTACAGTTAATAAATTCTCAGACTGAGGTTGCTGTAGCCTTACCAAACATGGCTTCGATATTTTACGTCTCTATCAGCTGCTGAAGTCATTGAAAATGCCAGGTTGCTAAACTGATGAAAGCCATCACCCAGTTGCTTAGACCCAAATGTATTCAAGTGCCAAATAAACACATTAGCAATGGCTTCTTTGAAAGATTCAGAGAAAGCATATCCTTCAGTTCAGTGGGCAGATCATTCAAAATTAAGGAATAAACTGTGAAGTTAGAAAGCAAGTCTCTCTGGATTTTTCTTTTCCAATTCTAGAGTTTTTGTGGCAATAATTATTGTAATTACTCTCCATAAGGGACCTTTTCCTATTTTAATACATTCTGTTAAATAATTTAAGTTTTCAGTGTTTGGCATGCTGGAAAAATTAAGTGCTTTTAATGTGAATTTTATTTCAATTAAGGAATATCATGGCATCATTGGAGAGCTTTAAAGGATTCAATAGATGAACACACCAACTTGTAAGCCATGGTGTTTCAATGCTTACTAGGTAGAACTATTCACAGATAGGGTATTTCCATTCACTGGAAAGTATTCAGTAAACTCGGGTCTGAGCTGGAACTTCAGATATTCAGAATTTCCCCTCAAAAGGAAATGTTGATTTATTTCTTCACTTAAAAAAAAAAAAACAAAAACCAAAAACTTTCAGTTTTGGAGGGTTTTTCCCTCACCCAAGCAAGAGCAGGAGGAAGGTGAGTGGAAGCCCAGGTATGGTCACGGCAGTGCAGAAACTTCCCTCCCTTCTTCTCACCCCACCATGGTTGGGCAGCGGCTGAGATCTTCAGGTCCAGGAATGGGCATGGTGGAGCTGGGAGGAGCAGAACTGCCAGGGGTATTGAAGGTTCATCAAGATGATTGTCAAATACTTCAGGTTTACTCAATATTTGCAAAAAAATGTTTTATGGGAGCAACCCCCCTCGGCTGTATTGCCAAGCTGTAGAAATGCAGCTTCTAGATAACGCTTGAAATCCAAATGCAAAGTGAGATTAAAATCTCTTACTTGGATGAGCTTCCTGCTAGCTGTGTTAAGTCACGGTGAAAGTAGGAGACTTGAGATCACTTTGATGTAACTAGATTCACGCTATCACCACAGCAAAGCAATATGGGTTTGGGTGGGAGGCACAGGAGAGAGACAAACTCTCTTTCAGGTCCGGAAACTCTGCCTCAGCTTTGCAGTGTGTAAGAGCCTGAAAGCTTGCTGATGACTTTTGGGTTTGGGGTTTTTTTTTTTGCTCTCTGTTCTTCAACTATGTTGGTTAGGTTAATGAAATCCTTTCTCTTTCCTTGTGAACCTTGTGCTGTTTATCACTAAAGTATCCTTTCTACAGCTGTACTCTGATGCTTGCCAAGTAGTCTTCTGAAGGTAATAACTCAGCGGGGAAGGACGACTGCTGCTGTCACCGCAGAGCTGTAAAACAGCCGGTGTATTCTAGTAATACTCTGCTCCTTGTTTTGCTTTTGCCAAAGTACAGCAATTATGTTGATGACTCCTGCACAAAGCATCTACAAAGAGATGCTTTCCAGTTAACCAGTATTTCCAGTAATCATACTCTTAGCTTATTACATTGTAGTTCTCCTCTATTTAATTTGGCTCAAACTGCTAAAATGGACTTGGCTAAGCCCATGATGAGATTGAAAGCTTAGTGAGAAAGAGGTTTTGTTAAGCTCAGGCACTGTCACTTTTTGGAACCTGGACAAAATTTACTAAGCTAGATCAAAAGTTAGGAGCAGCTTGAACCAGGAGTTAAACTAATGTCTTGCTTTAAAATTCAAGCTGACCCTACGTCTTCTGTACTAAAACAGAAAAAAACAATTGAATATGTGCTTCATGCTAGGAACAAATTGCTGTGTGCAATGGGCATCCCTTCCTGTTGATCTAATGAAAGATCAGTTAGATCCCATGCTATCAGCAATTGCTGTCTCGGAGCTCTCTCACAATGTACAGTGTAATTCCATGAAGTCTGAAATACCAGAGATGAGGCATTTTTAAGGCATTTAGCTATGTTATTGCCACTTCTCCTGAACTTGTTTTAATGCAGCAAGTTGAAACAAAATCTGATTTTTGTTTTACAGTGGCAGTGAGTGCACCAAAATTAGCTTCTGTCTATCTGTTTTGCTTGTTGGAGGCTTTCTCCCTCCTGCACTTCAAAGCCTCTTAGCCTCACTAGTTTCCTTCCTTCACACAAAATGTCAGCGTAGAAACTTCAAAAATGCCAGCTAGGTACTCTTAAAAGGTGTGAAACTGCTCAGTCCTTCAAATGTCAAAGTCGGCTACAGGGAAAGTTATTCAGGGTATGGCTATTTAGTTTTAACTTCACATCCCATCATGTTCTAGGAGAATACTCAACCGTAGATAAACCTGACTAGATCAGCGGGTACTAAGGCAGAGCCACTACTTGGCATTTTTTCACAGCTGATTTTCATAGAGCTTTTATTGCCTTGTTTTCCTAGGGAGAATAAAAGGTAGAAAAGCTGGTAACATATCAGAGAGAAGGGCATCTGCCTTTCTGTATGCAGGACTTCAGGGGATGTGTTTGAGCTTGGCCTGGAGCAAAAATTCTGCAGACTTGGGAATGCTGGGCTATTTTTATTAGGTGCATAACATTAATTTTTTTTTTTGTTTGTATGTAAGATGGTATTGATCATGTGTTTATTAAAGCTTAGGTAGGGCTGGAAGGGTTGTCAGGGTAGCACCTGCCCTGTGCTCTTCTGCTGAGCAGTGCCAGGACAGAGCGCTCTTGGTGGAGGTTTGTCCAACTTGTAAAAAAACCTCTAGTGAAAGAGTCTCCCAAATATTCTGTCTCACTGCTGTATCCTCCTTAATTAGAAAACTCCCCCCGCAACTGACCTAAATTGATTTTGCTGCAAATTAAGTTGCTTTCTCCTCCTTCCTTCCCTCGCCACCGACTGTGGTCGTTCAGCATCTGGTTTGTACCCTGATCACGCTGCCTTGAGTTCTGTCTCTGCTTTTTTCTGCTTTTTAGAAAAAGCCTGAATCTTTTAACCTCATCTTCCTAACTTACGTTTTCTAAATCATCCATCATTCCTGTTGATCTTCTCTAGAGATGAGTGTGTTGCAGTCTAGGCCAGACTGCATCATCCCCAAACCAGCAGAGCAATTACCTTATTTGTCTCTCGGTCCTCTTTCCCCGAGTTCA